ATGCAGATGAGCTCTGCCTCGCGTCAGGGGGAGCTTCTGCTCTGCTTAATTATCTGTGTGTGTGTGTCAGTGAGAGAGAGAGAGAGAGAGTTAGCTTATCTGCTTACTGGCCCACACACACACACACACAGTGTTCAGGCTGCTGCTGCTGTTGCTGCTATGCTAAACAGCAAGGCATCCTGGGAATTGCAGTGACAGCTCATTTTGGTTTTTTCGCAGTCTATGTATGAAAGCTGCTGAGAGACAACTCTTCCCTCCCGCCACCTCCCCCATTTCCCTCTCCCCTTACAACACACAAACACACACACTGGCACTTGCATGCCCACGTTGACATATACACACACTCACGCACACAAACACATCTCTCTTCTCCCCACCACCCCACCCTCCCCTCATCGCCGCGGTGACAGGGCTTGTTGACAAACGCCAGCAGTCATCAGGGCACCATGGGAAATCTACTGCCACCGTTTTGTCAGCAGAATGACAGAAGTTGTTAATGTCTCGCCTCTCGCCCTGACACGAGACGCCGAGGCTGACAGACTCTGACACGCGCCGTACACACTCACACACCGATACACACTCACACACAAACATACTCCTTGAGAAACACACTGCCATGTGCAGCCGTACACTGACAGAAATGTCACGCTCAATACAGACACAAACACACATGTCCATGCACACTCACACATACTGACGTACTGCGCACACACCATTCATGTCCACATTTTGTGGCTCCCATCTTTCACTCTCCCTAATCTCACTCAACTAAACCAGTCAGTGTGTGTGAGAGAGTGTGTGTTGTCTGACAACTGGATGTGTATGGATGTTTAGGGTGTATGACTGGGGAGTATTAATGAGGATATGTCTAAGAGTGTGTACGGCTCCTAATGAGTTGTACTGTAGTGTGTGTGTGTGTGTGTGTGTGTGTGTGTGTATGTATGTATGAGAGAGAGAGAAAATAATGTCTCAGGTCTCGTTAAGGATGCTGCGTATGCGTCTGATCAATAACATTTACAATCCAGACAGGAGATCGAGCCTGGCAGACAACCCTAACTGACCGTTATGAGAACATGATGAACTCCGGACAGAGAGCACACACACACACACACACACACACACACAAACACAAACACACACCGATACACAGTTTCTCTGGACAGCCAATTACCGTTCCTCATAATCCACTTGCTCAACACGCAGCCTCTGTCATCCACCTATGTACGGCTGGTGTACAACTGACAGACAAGGAGATATATTTGTGAGTGTGTGTGTGGGCTGCTGAAGATAACAAAGTTCCCTCTAGAATCCACAAAGGCACATTGCTGTATGCACACAGACCCCTGATCAGATCAACACTAGTAGTTTGCCACGGTTTGTTGCACTAGCTGCATCTGTTAGGAACTGAACTAGCTATTTAACGTCCTGGGTTTCACTGAGTTGTACCTGCAGGGACGAACACTGCAGAATCCGTCGAAGGTGGAAGGAAGAAGGTGTGTTTACACTGTGCAACAACATGTGAATTAGGATCAGCTTAGGTGTGTACAGAAGTGGGACACGGGCCCAGAAAGTAAACACATGTGGCTGAATACAAAGATAACAAAATGTGACTTTGTAGATTGGTAAAAATATTACAGTATAGCAGGTTTGGAAGTTGTTATAAAATATATCAGACAGATTTCATTTAACAGTCGAGGAAACAGTGATGGAAAATTACAAATGTCATGTTTGTTGTAGTTTTCAATTGCAATTAGCAGTTTTCAATATAAAATGTCTGACACTTTAATTCAATACAACCTTATTTCCCCATGTTAGGGCTGAGCCACTCAAACATATGTGGTGTGTTCTCATGCATTTCATGTTACACGTACAGAGTAGATTTGAAACCACAAATTTGTGTGAATAGACAACTTTTCCATCCCCATCAGATCTTTGCCAGCTTTACTGTGATACAAAAAGTCAAGCCAAGACTTTAGACATTTAATTTTTTCTCATGTGACTTGACATTTCGATCACAAAACATCTGTGTGCCAGTCCAGTATTTCTCTTTAGGGCCGTCCAGCCTACAGGACGTACACAGAGCTCGCCTATGCTGCCCATTTGTTTGTAAGTTTCATATAACTACCATAAAGTCTCCACTCATCTCACAGACTGGAGTTCTGACCAGTACCGACTAGCTGGTTTATTATTACCTGCACACATGCACACGGAGCACTGAGACTTCGTCAATGTTCGAAGTTGTACACATCCCGTCTCACGCACATTCTGGCAGAGCTCTGTCATTTATACAGCAGATGCCAACCTTTTAACATCACATACACCTACTCACACTCATTTTGACACTAGCACAGGATATATGGACACCTGTTAAACTTCTCCCAGACAGCATGCCCTCGAAATTGGTACATGAGTTAATAGCCTACTTTCTCCACATGTTTTCTGGTCAGTGATAAGTTTGTAATCGAAAGTAATTAACAAAGATGATAATGGGGAGAGACAGATCTTTTCCTCAAATCCAGGCTGCAACAGGAAACATCCTGTTTGTCACTGACCTGGAAGCAATGACAACTAAATGCAATTTAAATAAAAGAGTACTGGGCTAAATCATGTACTAGATGTCAAGAAAGGTAAAAAATTATGAGTTATTACACCTCATACTAGAGGTGGATCCTGAGGGAGCTCAGAGCAAGACAGGTGCCCTGCAGCATGTTTACTGTGTCAGAGTTGTTGGTGAAATTTTGTCAGGAGGTCCAGAACTTACTGCCCCACAACTGACCCTAACACTGCACAGTTTGATTGACAGAATTGATATCAACACAATCATATTCACTGCATCTCACATGTAAGACACATTGTTCGAATATAGGATAAACAAAATTTTCCAGTCCACTTCCAGACTTCTCAGAACTTTTCCATGATTCAGACTAATGAAGTGAAACAGTAATTCAGTCTGACTGTGAGGCCCACAGGAAAATGTTAAAGACACTGGAACATAATCACACCCCAAAAATGATTAACGGTTTCTTGACAAAAATAAAATTTCAGCTTGAAAGTTGATCTTTGACCTTAGAAACAGCAGTTGACACCTGCTGATAACTGTAGTTACTTTTCAGAATCAGATTAATAAAACACAATACAGTATAATCCTAAAACTTCACTGCTCCCTGGTGGGAAATTCACAAGCTACCCAGCAGTAATTCAGATTATAAGGAAATAAAATGGTTAACCTTAGCTCCACCTTTACCAGCTGCAGCATTAAACTGATGAACACATGAATGCATCAATAATTATAATCCAATAATATAATAAACATTAAGGTGAGATGTGCCGTTTTGCATGATGAGTACTTTTACTTTTTGTACTTTAAATATATTTTGATGTTAATATTTTTGTACTTTTACTTAAGTAAAATTTTGAATGCAGGACTTTTACTCTGTGGTTTTGCTACTTTAACTTAAGTGAAAAATCTGAGTAGGCTGCTTCCTTCACTACTACTTCAGTAGCCTACTACTCACTTTCCTTCGCTAAAAATAATAGTTTTTTTTATTGTAAACATTTCTAAATATAAACAAAATTGTCAAAACTGACCCTGAACACCAATACAGAACATGATTCATTTTGTCAGTGCATGCACACACACACATTTCTGTGTTCCTGCAGCTCATCGCGCGCGCACACACACCCAGTGCACAGAGCAGGTGGAGGAAGCGCGAGTCAAGTGCAGCTTTCAGCAGGTGCCGCCCCACGTGAGCCGGCTAGGACGAGATGAAAGACGCCGCTGCACACCGACTCCCTCCCTCCGTGAACACCCCGACGCCCCCCGTACCCTCTCCCCCCTCCTCCTCGCTCGGTGAGGTAGATTTGTAGTGACAGCAGCGGGGGGCTTCGCCAGTCATTCCCCCTAAAAGGGTTCGTCTGATCCAAGAGGCAGGGAGGCGGCCCGCTATGTCGGTGTGTGTCTGCGTGTCTCCGGTGTCTCGCAGGGTTCAGGCGTTTTTGAAGCTTTATAAACACAAAAACCCTCTCTGTCTCTCTCCCTGCTATTTACATTTGAGCTCCGTTTTGCCTTGGCAGTAAAACATTGGTTTTATTCCCTCCGCCTGCAGCCCGTGTGACAGGCTCCACTGCATTAATCAACTCCTCCCGCTCAGAGTCAAGGATTTCTTAAACTGGAAAAATTAAACCTTTAAATGCATTTTAAAATGAAGTGTCTGACTAAAGTTATGTTAACAAGCCCCCAACCTCAGGTGTGTGTGCCAGATTCCCCGGTGAGCGCTCAGGGGATCGTACACAGCAAAGCAGAAATGAGGCAATGTGTTGATATGAATTTTCCCATCCGCAGTCAATTAGACAAACATTTTAGCTGCTGTAAAAGTTTGGCTTTTCTATAATATGAACACCCAGATATCAGAAAGATGCAGCTGCAACCTGAACTTTTAAGTGATCTGCCTGTCATATTCATAATTTTCCATCTTCATGTGGTCTTAAATCACCAGGATTGCAGAACATCCCTCTTTACTGCCTCATTAACATCAGTCGTCTTGCGGGGCAGACAGCCTTTTTCACCATCAATCAAGTGCAGAAGAAGCTAAAGCCAGTCTGCTGCTGCCACATCTTGGTGCAGGGCGTGGATGCAAATGGAAATGAAGAAAAAAAAAAAAAGTTTTGGAAATGCAAATTTTGAAATCTGTTAAAGAGTACACCCCCCCATACCCAAATTCATCGTTTTTGTTTTTTGCATCACAAAGCATTCTGTACATTGATCTTTTTCCTTGCAAGTTTCTGTCACTGCTGAAGAAAACGTAGCCCACCATGAACATTGTCCATACATCAAGGCCTTCTATCACACAATGTGAATCGCCCCAGAAATGTAGAGAAAATGCAAAGTACTCTGCTGCCTGTGTTTTCTACTCAGATAATTTAATCTTAGGCTGATTTCTGAAAATCTTTAAATATAAATATCTTCATTGAGTAAAGATAAAACCTGGTCAAGTCAAGAGTATTTCTGCCAAATTCTTTGATTTATTATGAGAAAACACTGTATTTTATAGGTTTGTATTGTTACAGAAAATACTTGATATTTGAAACCAAAACATCAAGGGCGTTAAAGTATTTTTTTTTTCCTTCATCATAACTCTTCACATTATTCTCCTGGATCTCCTGTGTCTTCAGTTGTACTCCATTTAAACATTGCATTCAACCAAAGTGTCTGCAAAATTAATTAGCATGCATTCAGATGTCTGACTGAAGTTACTTGTTTTGTCTGACCAACAGCCTAAGACCCAAACATATTAATTTTACTCTCATTAAAAAAAACTAGGAAAACCAGCAAACATTATTTAATTCCAACAGTTTGTAAGAAACAAATATTACAGTGTATATAAACATTAGCACTGTCGCTCGTCTAAGTGCTTAAACTTTATCGTTCCATTCGACTCAGTCACAACGCTGATATGACACCTCAAAGTCCACAGAACCAAAGACAATGATCTGCCATATTTTAACAGCCTCTAGGTGAAAATGAATGTGCACAGCTTCCTCACATACATCTATGTGTCTATGCACATGCTAATCAAGGCAAAGCGGTGCTAGTACGTACACTCTGTCATGATGAAACTGAGGATAGAAATACAGATGGTGTTTTAAAGGCTTTACTTCGGGTAGGCCTCGATCACCATGGCATGACCCTGCAAAACACAAAACACAACTTTGTCAGGATGATTGTTTCCTATGGGGAAAAGTGTCACATGATCCACAACATACAGCAAAAACATTATGCGGTGCACACAGTGTATTAAAATAAAACATTAAAGTCTAGATTCGAAAAAAGCTTGTGGAATTTGAATATGTAGAGAGTTCGTGTGATTGTGCCGTTTAATGATTAAGTCACACCATTAGTTTACCTGTCCTCCAGCAGCACAAGCTGCCACCACTCCGTACTGACCGCCCTCTTTCTGCAGCCGGTGCGCCGTCGTGGTCACCAGCCTGCAGCCTGTGGCTCCGAATGGGTGACCCAAAGACAGAGAGCCCCCCCACAGGTTGAATTTCTCCATGGGAGGAGCCCCAATCTATAAACAACAGACATGTGGTCAGGAGTGATAGTTACACCAAATGAATCTAAATTCAGAAATCAGAGAAGTAGGGGGCTATCGTTTCAACGGGCTTCCATATAGCTGGACTGCAGTTAAAATGAAAAGGCATAGAAAGGGCAACATACAGCACTACACTGATGTGAGTTCCCTAAAAACGCCAACGTGAAACTACTGTGCATGTTATGCTTTACATTTTATCCCTTCATGCTGTCGCTGAATATCAATCTGTACTTTTTAAAACTTTATTATTTACAGTACATAAAATTAAGCAAATGCATCTCATTTTTAATTACTGTTCTGTGTAGATGTGACGTCACAAAAGACTACCAGTCTTAAAATTTCTGTATTACATTGCACCCATATAAAAAGATGATTGCCCCAAAAGCAAATTTGTTTCAGTGTGTTGCCAGGGTCCTGATGTACTGTATGGATCTATTCTGAGAAAGAGCCTTGGTTACCTTCGATTTCCTGCCCATGTACGTCTGTGCGAACCAGTCCGAGTCCATAGCCTTCAGATTTGCCATTATTTGACCCTGGCAAACACACACAAAAGTATATATATATCCACAGCGTTACCATAGATACGAGACAGAAAACATTGATTGCGACTCATTCAAAAGCCAAATCTTGCTCCAACATTGATGTCCATGAATAACCCATCGCCCTGTTTGGATTAAGGCAGACAGAAATTGAAAGATTCTTATTTTGTTATTTAAGAAATGCACATCTATAACTTAAAATATCTTGGACATTCACAGTATAATAGAAAAACAATACACACATTCACTCACTGCCACACAAGTTCACACACTTTTTGTGATAACTTACTGCAAATGCCTCGTGACACTCAAAGACATCAATGTCACTCAAAGACAAGCCAGCCCGTTCCAGGACTTTTGGTGTACTGTATGTTGGCCTGACAGGGTCGACACAGAACACAGCGTGAAACAGAAAATAGAATTAACTTGTTTTCCACTCCACATGATTGATCATAAGTCAAACTGTTGCTTTTCATAGAAGCAACATGCGCAGTAAGTTGAATCACACATGGTTAGCTATCACAGTTATTTTAGAAATGGGACAGTAACCCCTTGTTATTGCAAATGTTTGTTTGCTTTATAGCTAAACTAACTGTGAATTACATATGAACCTTTCTACCTGACAATCAGTAAGATTAAGATGCTGAGACTCACCCCAGAAGCAGCTGATCTTTGGGGTCCTGAGACACATAGACAAAGTCTCTGTCAGGGTGGGAAAAAGAAACATGATTATCTTGTCTGCTGAGATACGTAGCATTACTGGGGAAATTAAGCTAGCTCTACCAAAGGAGGGTGCAGGTACCTGAGGTAGGCCTTAGGCTTATAACCCATAGCCAAAGCTTTCTCTTCAGACATGATGAGCACAGCAGAGGCACCATCAGTCTGAGGATGGAAACAAACAAGCTGTTTACTTACAGTTTATCTATGAGATGTGACAGCATTTCCACAAGAACACCAGTGTAGGTTGTTAGGGCAGAGCTGCACTGTACTTGCTTTTCACCATGTGACCAAAAATGTCACCACAAAAGTTTAAAATAAAGTGCTGCTCTCTCGCTGAAAATACTTAATGTCCTCCCATTACCAAATTTGAAGAATGTTTTACCTCAGGTAAATTGCAGCTTATAGTCTTGTGTTTATTTTACACACAGAGCCAGATGCTCATGTTTAAGCTGAATTAAATCACAAACACTCAGAGAACCACGGTTGTGTGTGTTTACCAGGAAGGAGGAGTTGGCGGCAGTGACTGTGCCGTGAGGTTTAACGAAGGCGGGCTTTAGTTTGGCCATTTGCTCCATGGAGGATGGACGGATGCCATTGTCCTTGGAAACAATATCACGGCCTGGAAAAGACAAAAAAATAGTATGTAATCAATTAAAAAGAAACACAACACTAACCGCTACCTGTAGCCTCTAGCTGTTAGAATTTGTTACAATTATGGAATATAGTGTAATGCATAATCTTTTTTTCCATGGGACAGATGGTTGGTTAGAGAAATGGACACAACCTAACCATAGGCATGTTGCATACGTAGAATGAATGTTTATTTTATTGGATCCCTATTAGCTCTTATCATATCAGCTGCAAAGAATGCACCAAATGCAGACACATGAGATCTAATAATTATAACAATATAAGTAACTACATTGAAATACACATAATCTAACACAACATTTATAACCATCCATAACCCCTGAATGTCTAATGCCATGCGTCTCTGGGTCTCTGGGTGATGCAGTGTTTACCTGGCACTTTAAAGGAGAGGACATCCTGCAGCAGACCAGCGTCCTGGGCCTTTTTGGCAAGTGTGTGTGAACGCAGTGCAAATTCATCCTGCTCCACCCTGGACACTCCAAATGCAGCAGCCAGACGATCAGCACTGTGGCCCATAGTTTCGGCTGTGGAGAACTCAGCCACAGCTGGAAGCTACATGCACATGTAAGGAGGGAATACTGTGTCTCATGTGAACAGAAAGATTTTGGAATCGATGTTAATAAAATGAAAGTATACCTCTGGGGAGAAGTGTGCCAGTCGGATGCTGCCAAGCAGACTGAGCCTCTGGCCAAGGGTCTTTGCCTTGTTGAGGGACAGCATGGTCTTCCTCATTTTACGGCTGTGACGGATAGGGACATCAGACATGAACTCCACCCCCCCTGCCACAACAATGTCACACTGGCCTGCAGCAATCAGACCAACAGCTGGAGAGAATGAAGGAGGAGGAAGAAACAAAGGCCAAGCAAAGAGGGGGAGCAACCAAAAAGATTTTTAAAGGTAAGCCTCATTCCTTTTTTCCTTAGCATTCTTAATGTAATGTATGTGCCTTGCTGTGATGACTAAAAGACAGATCTGATCTCAGGTCCTCAGCTTCAACATGTCCAGATGTTATGGTTTATTCTGATACTGAAGTCTTAAGCCCAGTTAGTGTGGCCTTGATTTCTTTCCGTGACGTACCTGTGGTCATTGCCTGGTTGGAGGAGATACAGGCCATGGTGACGGTGTGAGCTGGGATCTTGTCAGAGAAGCCTGCACCCAATGCTGCCTGAAATCACAGTCAAGTATAGAGGAGATGCACAACAGAGCAGCAGCTCTCTTTATAACTTCATACACAAATGTGAAGTAGGAAGTATGTTGACATGCAGGTAAGCCATTCAATGGTTTTGCTCGTGCCGAGTAAAATTATTGGTCAGGCTTTTTTTCAGCCCTGTTGCTGCCAGAGATGATGGATTCATTTCTTTATGTTCTCAATACATTTAATCTATTCATTGCCATCGGGAAAGAGAATGTCAAGATATGTAACACAAAATGCTTCTGAAAAGAATCGTCAACTCTACCTTTAAGACCTTAAAGCTCTAGATACTATTAACATTTTGATATGTGTATGTGTGTTTACCTCTCTTGCTACGTTGCTAGTTTTGACCTCCTGAATGACAGTCCCATAGACAATGTAGTCTACAGCGTCTTTGGGTATGCTTGTCCTGTGGAGCAGTCCCCTAGAGAGAGACAGATGGTAATATTTACTCACAGAAGCACTACGATACAGTATCCTGGGTGAATTTATTACACTGTAAGGAACATAACTCGTTTTCAACAAAACAATCCCATCCCTTCCACAGCTCTGTCAAATTGTTGCTCCCATGTTCCTCTCTCTTCTCCTGTGTAAAACTGATTCATAAAACCATAGTTACATAAAACTGACTTTACACTAGAAGACTAGGATAAGACTCTCAGAATGTGGACTGAAAGGGGACAACGAGGTCTGTCCACCTTTTCCTCTTTCTCCACTCTGTTGCGGAACAAATTGGATGATACGTCAGACAGACTGCTCACTCCACAGCTCCACCAGTTTCTCCTCCTTTTCAACAGTCCAGCAGAACAATGCCTCCCAAGGCACAGTGTCACCTGAGCCCCCCTCTTATTTACCCATAGAAGTGTTATGTATTTACCGCCGTTTCTGTGCCAGCTATGCTGCTTCCTGTTTGGTGCTGGAAAGAGCTCACCTAATGGTTGTTTACAATGTTCACACCACTGTCTGCATGAGCCAAGGCTAAAGACTTATGATAATATGAAACATGATTGATTTTATTGGAACGTCAAGATGAGAAAAAGACAGCTCGGATCGCCGCCTTACACCAAACGACTGAGATGATGCAATCACAACACGACTAGCAAGATTCTCATGATTTTATTCTAGAAGTTTGTCTGTGGCACGAAATGGCTTGAAAAGTCATTAGGTGTAAGGTTGATATAAGGCATCAGATTTATCAGACTTTTGTGTCGTCAGAAGACAGAATTACTTTATTTACTCTGGAAAAAAGAAAGTAACTTCTGTTGTAATGAACATTATAAAATAGGACTGGCACTGATTGACAGAGTAATGCAGTTACTGTACATATAACTGACTAACTCAGAATTAGTGTTTAATGCCACTGCTGCTTAGTGGTTTCAATAAGTAGTTGATCAGAAGAACTACACACCATGTCAGCAGACTTCATCTAGATTTATTCTTTAACAGAAGTTCTTATATGGGACTTTCTACCGTTATGACACAGTTAACACACAAAACAACTTACTGCAGAGCTGCTCTGGCCAGGTCATGGGGCATTAGGTCAGCATATCTGTAAACACAAACCAGAAAGATTTTTACCCTCAAGTCACCAGCCCACTACCACACTTTGTAATCGCTTGACTACAATTCAATATTTAAATGGGTAATAAATTCATTTAACTTTTCTGACCACCTTAAGGTGAAAAATCTTTTCTGAGCACTTTTGAGCTGCACTCTTGATGTCAAAACATCACAGATGTATGGTGGCCACAAGCATCAGCCAGTGAACCATAAGAACAGAACAGAGACATACGTGGTTCCAGACAACAGGAAAGGGGTTCGAACTCCTTCCACCAATACTACGTTCTTCACACCAGGCCGAGCCAGTGTCTTCTTGCTCTTTGTCTGAACTGAAGGACAATAAAGACAGTAACAGGTTCATATACTGATGGTTGTGAACTAACATTCTTCACAGGTGTTTTTCCAGATAAATACATGAATCCATAAATAGAGTCTTACAATGCTCAGCTCACACTTTAAACTGTGCCATCCATACAAGACTATATCTGGATATTTATGTGAATGCAAATGTTGAAATTTCCATGAAAAAAAAGAAAAATGTTGTAATAAGCTGTATTTATAGAGCACCTGGAGCCAGCATAGAAAAATTTAATGACTGGATGGAGGAGAACTATTTGACAATAAGTCATAAACTAATGTTCATATGTGGTGACTTCAACATTGACTTGTTAAACCCTAACAAGCACACAGGAACGGAAGAGTTTATCAACACTTTACACAGATGCAGTTTATACCCAAAAATCACAAAGCCAAGTAGAGTAACAACCCAGCATGCAACACTAACAGATAATATATTTACTAATGATATTGAAAGCAAAATGACAAGTGGATTAATTATAAATGATATTACTGATCATTTGCCTGTATTTCTGGTTTATTAGAAAAGAAAGGCAAACAGCAAAACTGTACTACAGGAGGGTGATTAATGAACAAACTGTACGGAGACTTAAGGAGGAATTAATGGGGCAGGAATGGGAAGCAGT